TTCTATTTATAAATTTTATGGGACCATTGTTAGCTATTTCAAGAAAATTAAATTAGATCCATTCTCCACATTAAAATAAAATTCTAAATGGAATTAAAGGGTTAAATATAAATTAACCAAACCACAAATTTAAAAGAAAAATTGAATGAAGTTTTTATGACACTTCTGGAGAAGAAAGAACTGTCTAAGCTGGGAAGCAAAGAAAGAAATAAAACACAAAGAAAATGAGTGACAGATTTGACTACTAAAAATGTTAATTTTTTCTGTGTGTCAAAGAAAACTAATGGCAAACACGAAACTGAAAAAAGATATAAAAATCCATAATGTGTTAAGAAAAATAGTAAGATCCAAATGGTCAATGGGTAAAGTACATAAAGAGCTAATTCATGAACGAAGAACTATAGCAGCTTTCCAGTTATAAAACAGACTCAATCACTAATCAAAGAAATATGAAATAAAGAGTCAGACACCAAATTTCAAGAATTTTTTTAAATAGGATTTCTCACTTCTAGGGAGGGTGTGGTGAAATGGACACTCTCATGCATTACTGGTGAACAAATATATGAATTGGAAGAATCACTTAGGAAAAAATATTCGCTGATCATATATACATCAAAAATCCCAAGCTGTTTATGTTTCTTAGAAGTTGCACATCTTTAAAATGTATTCTAAAGAAGTAATCACAAATACAAAGAAAACTTTCTGGACTGAAATAGTAATCATAATGGAATTTATAATAGCAAAAAATGGAATTATTCTAATGTCTAAAAGTAGATTACTGGTTAAGGACAATATAGTACAGTCACTGGCTGGACTATCATGCAGCCATTAAAAATAATGTTTGAGCCCAACTGGCGTGGCTCAGTGGTTGAGTGTTAACCTATGAACCAGGAGATCACAGTTCAATTTCCAGTCAGGGCATATGCTTGGATTGCGGGCTCGATTCTCAGTAGGGGGTGTGCAGAAGGCAGCCAATCAATGATTCTCTCACATTATTGATGTTTCTATCGCTTTCTCCCTCTCCCTTCCTTTCTCTGAAATCAATAAAAATATATTTTAAAAATATAATAATTTTTAAAAATCATTTGTAAGAACATTACATATGAATGGGTGTTTTGTGAGATTTTTTTAAATCCTCACCTGAGGATATTTTTTCCATTGATTATTTTACACAGTCTGGAAGGGAGGGAGGAGGGAGAGCGAGAGAGACACATTGATTGGTTGCCTCCTGCTTGCACCCTGACATGGGCCGGGAAACGTCTGCAGGCCGACGCTCTAACCACTGAGAAAACCGGCCATCGTAAATGGGTTTTTTTCATGTTAAGCAGAAAACTCATCAGAATACAATTATTGTAAGAGCACATGTGTGTTTACAAAGAAATTTTAAATTAAAATTAAAATTTAGAAGAAAATCAACTTAATTTTCAATAATAATTGTCTTTAGGTTATAAAACTATAGATGGTTTCTCCCTCATTCCCATTATCTACATTTTTCAAATTTTCTATAATATGAATAGACATTAAGAACTATTTTTAATAGACTTACTGTACAAAAAATATAGATTTATTTATTGAAAATAGTTAAAGAACAATTTCTCACTTTAAATGTAGGTGAGCAGTCCTATAAATAGAAAACTTCTCTAGTACTTTATGAGATTCAATTTTCCAAAACTGAACAGGGGGAAAGGACTATCTGAAGGCCATGACTGAGGGTTAAGAACTGGGGAAAGGAACAAGCATAGCTTCAAAGTATAGTTTATAGTTTGAAGGCAAATGCAATGTTGTATTCCTACATTAAAAATACAGAAACTGAAACTCAACCAAACCTTGTTGAATAATGGGAGTAAACAGAAGATAGAATGAGTAACTATTCTGAGCAAACCCGATAATCACTGAATGTTTGTTACTTATACCTTATTGTTCATGTGTATATGACACCATTTACATGGTTATTTCTACTGCACATCATAAGCATACATGTTTTGGTTTAAAATGAGTGCATGGTTTATTTTAAAAAGAAATGTGATTTTGTTATTGCAGCCTAGTATTAAAATTAGGGGGGGAGAAAGGGTTATATTTATCAAAAGGGACTCCCAACTCAAAAAAGTTGAGAAACTTTCATAAAAAGCAATATATCCTAGTGTCTTCCCTGCGAAGCACAGTCTGGCAGTCACCTCTAAGACTTGGAGAGCCCAGTGTGCCCATCAAAAGATGTTAGGGGGACTCCCAATTTGCCTACTATTTTCTGCGACTGCATAAGGAGGTTTGCATGGAAACTCAGAGTCATAAAAGCTGAAAAGACAAGTATCACATGATCTCACTTATATGTAGAATCTGATGAACAAAATAGATCCAGAGACATGGAAGCATGGAACACACTGACAAATCTCAGAGGGAAGGTGAGGGGGAGAAATTAGGGGGGGCGGATAGATTAACCAAAGAACTTATATGCACATATGCATAATCCATGGACACAGACAATAGTGCAGTGAAGGCCTGGGGTGGGGCTGGAACAGGATAGAGGGGGTCAATGTTGGAGCCCTCCCACAGTCCCTTCCCAGCTGGCCAACCTCCCGAGTCCCTCCCTGGCCCCGATCCTGCACCGGTGGGGATCCTCGGCCTGGCCTTTGCCCTCTCACAATCCAGGACCCCTCAGGGAATGTCAGAGCGCCAGTTTTGGCCCTATCCTGCAGGCCAGACCGAGGGATCCCACTTGTGTACGAATTTATGCACTGGGCCTCTAGTACTTTCAATATTAAAGATAAATTTTAAAAATAGATATTTTAAAAATTAAAAGAAATAAACTGTATTTATGCAAGATTCCCTTTGGATGAAAACTTAAATGTTTGAGAAGTCCCCACCTGCCTAAATTAATTTCTTATGTGATCCTGGCCTACATGGGCAAAAGGCTAAAGTTGTCCTCATCTCTTGCCTATTTTATAAACAGCAATCTTATGCAGAAGGCAGGGGAAACATTACTATTTCTGTTTTACAAATATGGAAACCAGAACCCAGAGAAGTTGAGTGACTTCCCCAGAGTTCCACACACTGGCCTCCTGATATCGGTCCAAAGCTCTTTGTGGTAAGAAACAGTATTTGCTTTGATGGTTCACTCATTAATTCAAAAATATATATTGTGTACCTATTATGTGCCTCATAATGCCTTTTATGTGCCAGATTATGTTCCTGGTGTATGAAACAATGTCCCTACACTCATGGAAGTTTACATTTTAGTAGGAGAGCCCAGCAATAAATAAGTAAACAAGCAAATGTCAGGTAGTTTAAAGCTCCTTGAAGAAAAATAGATAGTGTAACAGAGACAGGAGAGAGCACTTATTTGATTTCAGAGAGGAAGGAAGAAGGAGAGAGAGATGGGAACATCAATGATAAGAGAGAATCATTACCGGCTACCTCCTGCATGCCCCACACTGGGGACAGAGACCACAACCTGGGCATGTGTCCCAACTGGGAATCGAACCATGACCTCCTGTTTCAAAGGTCAATGCTCAACCACTGAGCTACAACGGCTGGGCTGGTCCACTCACTTTTCCATCTTCTTTTGAGAAGAATGGAGCCTAAGAATACTACTTGGCTCTCATTGACTTTCCCCAGTTTCCGCTTGGGCAAAACAAACAATATAAGCAAAACATAAAGATATGAGCCCAAGAGATTGAATAGCTTCCACGTATTTCCTTTGAAGCCTTTATAATAAATGCATTTAGCGTGGCCTGACAGTTGCCATAAACATGGCTTGATCATTAAATAAATAAACAAACAATGAAAATCCTCTATCACCAGCCTCGGTATAATCTTTCTTCATTGGCCCAGGAGCTATTTTAAAATCTTGCAGTGTATCATTAGGTACGGAAATTACTACCAAGCATTTTCCCTCATTTTGTTTCTATCTAGAACCTACTTTGCAGAGCCAGTGTTTTCATATGGGTGTTTTTATCCTGCTGACGAAAAGTAATTGAGCTACGTACTTCCTTAGAAATGCCCCATGGGTACTGACAGAAACTGACGAAAAGAAAACATATAATAGTAATAATAGCTTACATTTACAGAATATTTACTGTGTCTCAGGTCCAGTGCTCAATTTTTTTTACTTGTATTATGGCATTTAACCCTCACAATTCTATCAGGTAGGTAGTAATATTATACCCGTTTTATAGGTAAGAAAACTGAGGGACTGAGGGTTAACTTGCTAAAGTCACAAACCTAGCATTGGACTAGCACAGGATTAGGTCTCAGATCCACACGACTCTGGAGCCTTGGAGAAAAGACGAAGTTGCATCTGATTCAAAATGGGGCGTTAAATGTGCCCAGGTGAAGGGCAAAGCTGATTCATAACAAGGGTGTTTTCCCTCCATGTCCTTTACAACTTTTGTCTGTACTAGCTTTTATCAAAAAGGGGTCCTTCCCCAGACACAGCTCTTCTAAAGGAAGCTGAATAAGCAGATCCAGAGAGGCAGTTTTACTCACAAACATCCCCATTTCAGCAGCCTACTGAAACTGACATTGCATTCTCAAAGTAATGGATTTAGATTCTTAGTCTGCTTCCTCTTCCTGAAGTTGATGGTCTTCTTTTGGGATGATACCTCCAAATCCATTTAAAGAAAGCTGGGGAGAAGCCTTTCTTTCTCTCAGGAGCTGGTGGCCCTAAATCTGGCTGTTCCATCATCCCAGGCCTCTACCTTGCTGGCCTCTACTAGAGGACAAAGGGGAAGTGGTAAGTCGGGATCCTGGGTCTTTCTCTGAACAAAGGTAAATTCCAGACACTGTTTCCCCACTCAAAAAGGAGTTTTCTGCAATTGAACCAAAAGGTCCTGCGGATGCCTTTTATGGAGATCAGGAGGCCCAGGGAGTGAAATACACAGCATGGTCCACCATGGCCCTGCACTGGACCTGAGAAAGCACATTGCCTGCCCCCGCCACTCATACCCACTGCCTGTGTCCATCCTCTGCAAGTCCCGGGCCCAGCCACCCCACGATGTACTCACAGCACACACAGGCAGTACGCCCCTGGGACACTCTCGCTGTCCCTCAGCAAATAGCTGCCGTCCAGACCGGTGGCAAGCAGGAGCTTCTCTCCTGTCTCCCGGCTGATTTTGCCATGATACACAGCCACTGCGTCCATGGCCTGGTGGACTTTTGGGCGGGCCGAGGTGTGGAATAGGAGAACAGAGATGCTGCTGCTGCTGCTGCTGCTGCTGCTGCTGCTGCTGTTGTTGTTGCTGCTGCTGTTGCTGCTGCTGCTGCTGCTGCTGCTGCTGCTGCTGCTGCTGTTGCAACCAAGCACGAGTCAGCCACCTGACTCCCAGTTCAAAAAAGAGAGAGGAGCACCCGAACAACAGGATGTTGCCTACCTGCCTTAAAACCTCCTTCAATTAAAACCAGCTCAGCAATTTAGCAGCTTGGTTGTTGCCACTGGGTTCGATCCCCTCCCTGTTCAGCACCCACCCGCCCAACAGAGGACAATTGGAAAAAGGTCCTTGCAAGGTCAGGGCTGTACTACCAACATGCACACACAGGACTGCTTGGTAATGCTTCTGTTCTTGCCATTTGCCTAGGGGCCCCCCGGGATGACTGAGCTTAACTAGTACCGCAAGGGGTTGATGATAGAGATATGTTGTGCAAGACCTTCATATGGGACAGAAACTCACAGAGAGACAATGAAAGGACAAAAGCTCTGAGACCAAAAAAACAAAAACTATCAGTAGTGTCAATGTGCAATCACTACTGAACACAGCCAGGAGACCACTACAGAATCAGAAGTAGTAGGTGAACAAGGGACTTGGGGCAAGTCCCTCCCCTCCCTCTCCCTCCCCCTTCACTTCTACCCTTCCAGTTTTCTTCAGCAATCTTGATCCTGAGCAAATACTGATTTTTTTTCTACTTCTTTGTCCAAGATCCCAGAGTGCTGGTCAAGGTTTAAAAATCAGTCTATGTGCAAATATGTCCCAGATTTCTCTATTTAATGGGCAGTAGATGAGAGAATTAAATCATTTAATTGGTGCTTTGTCTTTACATGAACTTATATGTGCCCTGTGATGTATAGGACCCACCTTTTAGCATTTGGGGCATAAAACTTGTTGTAAATCACATTGCAAGTGTTGATAATTGTGTTGTAACTTTTATCTTCTGTTGGTAATAGATAATATGTTTGTCTTCAGTTGATGCTAAACCATGTATCATTTTTTTAACTTTTCAACCTTCATTTTCTTCTCTGAAATAAAGCATTGCTTCAATTTCAAAATGTCCTATTAAGTAATACTTCCCCAAAACTTCCTTTTTCACTAGACTAAGACTTTGTTTCATGCTTAAAGGTGAACAGTCTTCTACATTTTCCCTTTTGACTATGCAAAATACTTTTTAAATTGGATTTTAATAGCTGAAGTTATGTTGTCTGTTGTAGCTCTCCCACAATTTCAGCACCAAGTTCCTTAAGATCACAGCAAGGCTGGGAGCTCAATAGGGAGAATGATTTTTAAATCCTCATATGTCCTACCAATGAATCAGATGCACAGAGCTGCCTTGTAACAAAGCCAGATATTTGCTCTCCACCTACTAGGCTTGAGAACAAATCTAAGATTTCAGTGACAGCTAGTAGTAACTCTCCTTTTTGATTGAAGTATGCCCCACCTTAGAATCTATCAACCTTAGTAGATAAAGCACAAACATAAGCCTCCTACAGGCATTTGCAACACCAAGAATAAAAATAAACAAAACAACATTCAAGATGGTATTTGAGGATGGTTCTGGGGAACTGAGCCAAGATTGTCTCATCATCTTCCTACGTCATTTGTTTAAGGCCAACTTCACCTCTCACCCTTTTGCATTCTTTGGGTCAAGGAAGAAATTGATCTGATAAGTGAATGCATACACCAATTGTAAGGACTTGAGAGCTTAGTCCTCCCTGAACTCTTTATATTTTGAGTGGGAAAATGATTAGTCCAAAGAAATTAATCACAATGGTGGAATTTGAAACAAAGAAGAAGACAGGGAAGGAGATCCCTTCATCCAGTGCTTATGGACAGCAGCTCACTTGGGAGGTAACTGTGAGAACATTTAGTATCACATAGTCAAAAACAAAACCTAACCTTTTCTGTCTCTGAACAACCCTGAACAAATCATCCACAAACTTAGGAACATAGCAACCTGGATCTGACAGCAAAACATACCATGCATCTTTCTTTTCTTTCTCTGTTTTGTTCTATGTTGCTAAAATAGCACACCTGTCAAAGCAGCTAGGTATGATGGGGTTCAGCACAAGTAAAACTGTATAAAAAAAAGAACAGACAAATTATAAGGTAATAGTACAACTCTCACATCCAGTACCTCATTGTCATCTCACAAGCAAGCTGACAGCTGAGCCAGCCCACTGCTGCAGTGTTGATGAAAAATACTGACATCTTCACTCTAGTGCTACACCAATACTAAACCTGACGTGAACAAATTCAAAACTTAACGCTGAGCTTAAAATGTAGAGAAAGAGATATTGAAAGGGCTCTCCTCCTTCTCTCTTGCCATTCTTGCAAGAAAAGAAAGGAGGAAAAATGAAAGAGAAAAGCAGTGGAGGCACCAGTAAAGAGTTAGGAAGGCCAAAACCGGTTTGGCTCAGTGGATAGAGAGTCGGCCTGCGGACTGAAAGGTCCCAGGTTCGATTCCGGTCAGGGGCATGTACCTGGGTTGCGGGCACATCCCCAGTGGGGAGTGTGCAGGAGGCAGCTGATTGATGCTTCTCTCTCATCGATGTTTCTAACTCTCTATCTCTCTCCCTTCCTCTCTGTAAAAAATCAATAAAATATATTTTTTTAAAAAAAGAGTTAGGAAGGAGGGGTCCCAAATACAAATTTACATATATACAAATATATAATCCACTTATAATTAAGGCCCATGACCGCAGGATTTTTGTTCCTTGGTCACTACTGTATCCTCAGTGTCTGCTACACATTAGATGTTAAATATATTTGTGGAGTGAATTAATTAATTAAATCAGTGCTCTCAAGAAAATAAAAGACACACACACACACACACACAGACACACACACACACACGTTTGGTTCTACATGCCTCTGGCCCACCTTTGAAATGGGTAGATGAATTGGAAGAAGTAGTCCAGCAATTACAGAGTCAAGTTATACTCAATGTTTTGCCACTAAATCACTTCCTCTCTCAGCCTCATTTTCTCCAAAGGTCAAATGGAGTAAACTAGATGACCTCAGCCTACTTCCAGCTTTAACATTATGTGTTTTAAAGGAAAACGAAGCATACTTTAGAGAGAAATAGAGGGGAGATGGACTAAACTCATTTGTGTGCAAGAAGCAAGAGCTGTTTCCTCTTTTCTCACCCCATACAGGAAAGACTTTTGTTCCTGTTGATTTTAAATGGCCTGAGAAATAAAAATCATGAGGTGGAGGAAAAGAGATTCACAGTTGAAAGCAAACTACAACATTCAAATCAAATATAAAAGCATTGACAAACTGTCAACTAAAGTTGAAAGTGTCTTCTTATCTGAACTTGTCACCTCCTAAGCCTCTGAGAGGTGACAAAATTTTGCATGTGGATGCCCTGTCTGAGGTGCTAATTGTCTTCATTTCAAATGCTCTATGCTATTCTCAAACCCAGGTAGATTAAAAGGATGATGCCAAGGGTAGTGATTTTATAAAGTGGATGTGACATTTCAGAATCTTTTTTTCTAACCTTCCAAAACTAACTTTGTTCTTCAACTAGCTTATCTGTAGGTGCAATTTCTCCTGTGACAGTGTTATGATATTGTCACTTCTGGTGGGTTTACACATTCTCTTGACACCAAAATTCACTTCCTTTACCAAAATGAGAAAAGAAAACAATTAAAATCTTTTTTTTAAAAAAAGAACACCTCCTTTTGATAGTATTGGAGTTTATCTATGAGGCTAAGTTTTCTAATGTCCTTTTGTATATGAGAAGCCAGAGACAGGGTTGTTGTTTGTGTCAATTTAAACCTATTTTAAGTATGTTTATTCTTTGAACCAACATTTATGATCATCTACTTTGTGACAGACACTGTAATAGGTACTGAGGTTAGAGAGAAGGAAAGCACATATGTGCACTCTCGTAGCTCACAGTCTAGCGAAGAAGACAGACTACTAATAGACTATTAGAATTCTCTTAGTAAGAGCTTGCTAAAGGAAAGGATGGGGCTCCAGGGGCACAGGCACTAGGCTCTAGGGCTCTAGGGACATCTAATTCAATTTATATTCTAAACCTGCACAACCTACTCAAGACAGCAAGTTCTATATCTTTCTGTCTGCTATGTACAGTCCCTTTAACTAATTTTTCCTCCTTCATGACTCAGAGGGGGGTCCCTAATTCTAGCTGAAACTCTGCCTGCTTCTGAGGTTTCTGTTAGGTCTGATCAAATAATTGAATCGATACCCCTTCCCTAAGAACTGACCTTTAGGCCACTTCACAATGGACATTCCACTTGGGGAGCCATCACCCTGGCTTTGGTCACCCCGAGTTTGCTACTCAGAGAGGAGTAGGCAGCGACAGCTCATCCTGGGCTTACCTCTGAATCCTACTTGGGTGACTCTGGCCTCTGAAGGCTGAAACTGCCCAGGCCCTGACAGGGCCCCACAGACTTACATTAACAGGACAGAACCTCGGGTAATGATTGTGGTGGCAGGTAAGCCGATCTCCTTTTTAATTGACACTGGGGCCACTTATTCTGCCCCCCCCCAAATTCGCTGGAGCCCTTGTCCCCTCCTCAGTCTCTATTATGGGGGTTGACGGACTAGTCTCACAGTCATCAGCCACCTCACCTCTACACTGCATCTTACTAGACACCACCTTTATCCACGCTTTTCTCATTCTACCTCCGTGCCCGACCAGGCCCACCATGCATCCCCTTATAAAGCCCAGTTGTCCCGAAGCACAGTCACCTACCTCAGTTTCACTCTCACCCCACAAAGCTGAGCCATCACCATGGACCGTAAATGCCGTATCTCCTCCATGACTGCACCCCTCCTCTAGATAAGAAATACTCTCCTTTCTCAGGCTCACT